ATGGAAGATAACTCAATTCTTAACTATTAACATACAAACTGTGAATTTCATGCCATAAGATAAGTTCTGAGTTTAACTTATTGTATTTATGATCATATTCATACAATAATTCATAATCATATAATTACATATATTCATTTTGACTACACGATCAACTATGCTCTATCACTTTGAAACCATATATAATCATATTTGACGAAGATTTACATTTCATATCTGTATTCTGTTCCTTAAGGAATATATAGTTATATCGTATTTGGATGCTTTAACCCACGTACTTTATGTATCTACAGGATCTATTCAAACCTCTACCTAATATCAAGAAAATATATAACTGTGTATGTTAAAGGACTTTATTCACTATTTTACGAACTATCATTTAAATTGTATTTGGATACTATAAATCATTTAATTTCCGAAATTACCTGTCCTATTCGGTGAGTCTGTCATAGTTTTCTTTGACAGTGTTTTTTTTTCCAGAAAGCTGTTTCATATATTTGTTCAAGAAGCAACATAATAATCTTAGACGGTAATAATCTTTTAAACTACTTATCTCTGCACCTCCCAATTTTACTAATACGGACTTTCAGTTTATAAATGTATCACAAACCGTACTCATTTTGATTGTTTGATACTAATTATCGACATTTCTAAATTACTTTACTATATAAAGCTATCTTTCGTGTCATATATGTGTTAAAATTTATACAACTTGCTCCTTATATATTTTGCCTCCACACAGACACTGACATAAATACTTCATCTCCACTACTATCTTCCTGACATTGTCATCTTTTGTTTTTGACACCACTAATCCTCACGATAAATTCACTCTTGGTTAAAACATAGATTTTGATTTTTAGACTAACTTGAGCCCTCGGAATTGATTTTTTTCACCCCTTTCTATTTCCAACATTCTGTTCAATCTTTTTGCTATACGTCACTTTCTTATCATGCCACAAAAGAAATGAAGACCCTTGGTTCTAGGCGTCCAGCCAAACGTAGGAAAACGACACAATTTAACACCACTACTGACACGATTTTCGACAGTTTCAACGAGACGATCCACTCCGTTTATTCGGAAGCAGACAAGCTTTTACCAGTTGTCTCCATTCCAGACATGTTGAAAACTCTGCTGGTAAACAGTGATGATTGATTTAAACCACAGGGTTACAAAGAACCAATGGATTTCCTCAAGGTCTATTGCACTGATGGATTCTCTTAAACTCATCCCATCGGGCTCTGAACACGATGAAGAGCGACAAAAAATCAGATCTAGGTTAAGCAAAAGTCTAAGGAACGACCGTGAGCAGTGTTGTCAACGAAAGCAAAAGAGATGGAAAAGGCGGCAACTATAGGGAACACAAGACAGCCCTACAGACTAATAAAAGAAACTGGAATTAATAAATCAAGTGTAATTCGGACTAGTTCGGAAAAAGACGACACCCTCATCTGCTCCCAGTCCAGACGTTTAGAACGATGGGCGGAACATTTCAGAGAACCGTTCAGCTGGCCTTCAGCTACTCTACAAATACCCTCCATTCCCAGACAGTGTGAATGGAACATTGAAATAGATCCCCCGACTCTTGCTGATGTTCAGAAGGTTATAGCTAATCTGAAACAAGGAAGAGCAGGTGGATTGTCTCCAGAGGTCTTTAAGGATAGTGGTCCAATTTTAGCGATTAGGTTGACTAATATTTTAGCTAAGATCTGGGAGTTAGACGTTATCCCATCTAACTGGTCACAAACACTTATCGTCTCAATATATAAGAGAGGGTCAAAATCATCCTGTGACAACCATAGAGAGATTAGTTTAATTAATATAGTATCTAAAATATTAGCCTAGATAATTATCAGACGCCTAAGACTCGTGAACTGCAAACACGAGAGACTCAAGCTGGCTTCAGACCTGGTCGTGGCTGCATTGACCACATATTCACCATTCGTCAGATTCTAGAACACAGGCATACTTATCGGCGTCCGACAATGGTGGTCTTTCTCGACTTAAAAGCAGCATTTGACTCGGTAGACCGCGAGATTCTGTGGCAGTGTCTGTCATTGAAAGGCGTACCACAGGAGTACATAAACCTTGTGAAGGCTCTCTACTCGAACACTACTAGTCGAGTCAGAGCTTATGGCGAACTGTCATCTACTTTTGCAACCTCAAGTGGTGTCCGTCAAGGCTGTCCACTTTCCCCATTTTTGTTTAACTTCATCATAGATCTACTGATGGAAATAACTTTCTCGTCGACTGAGTTCTCGGGTATTGACCTCCTACCAAAAGGTCCACTTATCGACTTAGAATACGCAAATGACATAGTCCTGTTTGGTGAGGACGCTGATAAAATGCAGTCTTTTGGTAACACTAAGCAACAATGCCAGAATGTTTGGAATGCGCTTCTCTTCCTCTAAATGCAAGTTGTTGTTTCAGGACTGGTCTGCGTCAACACCTGAACTAAGAATAGGGAGTGAAGTAGTCGAACGCGTTGACAACTTCACTTATCTTGGAAGTCTGATCAGCCCTAATGGGTTGGTGTTTGACAAAATCTCAGCTCGGATTCCAAAACCTCGTTTACCGCGCAGAATTTCGTTCTGTTCTACTTTTCCACCGCGAAACATGGCCATTAAGAGTAGAAGATACTCGTAAGTTACTAGTATTTGACCACAGATGCCTTAGAAATATTTCCAGCATCTACTGGGATCACCGGATAAGTAATAGTGAGGTTAGACGCAGGGTATTAGGGAACGATGGTAAATCAGTTGATAAGGTTGTGAATCTTTATCGGCTGAGATGGTTGGGCTATGTGTTGCGTATGCCTGAACACCGATTACCACGACGTGTAATGCTAACTGGTGTTGGAGATCGTTGGAAGAAAGTTAGGGGCGGCCAAACCAAAACGTGGCATCAGTGCTTGAAGTCACTAACTTCTAGTCTTAGCCATGTTGGTAGACGAAGACTACTCGGTTGGGGTCCACGTGACTATCGTAACCAATGGTTGGAGACTCTTGGTGACATGGCTCAGAATCGATCACAATAGCGTAGATGTATACACTTTTTGTTTTCCCTTAAACAATGAGATTAAAATTGCTTTTTATCTTTCGTTCTACAAAATGATTCTTTTTTCTGTATTATATCCTTATACACAATCTTTCTTTAATATATTACTACCATTGAAGTAACTATTTCTATGAATTCGGCTATCATCCTTTTGTGCTAATGAGGTATGGCAACTTGGACCGATGCATATATGTGCCTGATCCTACGTTGCAGCTGACTGACTGACCTTTGTTTGAAAAATTTGTTGAGCACAGTCGGTTTAGTTATGTAGGTTTTTAATCAATAAAAGGGGGGAGAAAACTGAAATGTGTTTGATAACAGTCGAACAATTTAAGAGTCCCGAATCATGTTTCATTGAAAATTTAGCTCCCATACGAAAGTAAGATGCTTCGGTGAATTGAAACATGCGTTACTTGAAAATTGTTTTTCTATATAAAATCTCGTAACTGCAGGTAAATAACACTCCCGTTATTAGGAAATGAGGTCGACTGAACAAACTTTTCGAACATGTAAGAAGCTCCAGTCGGGTAAAAATCAAAGCTATAGTGCTGAAGGATGAACATATGTCTACGAGTACAATACTTTTAGGACCAACCATTACTTTACCTCAGTGGAAGATAACTTAATATTACTAAGACTCCGAACATGACATAGGAGGATAAATAAGATTAACAATTTAATGAGAACTAAGCAATTGCTACCTTGAAATGCCTAAAATATGTTTCCCATTACAATAAAAACTATTGATTTAAAACAATAGGTCCGTTGGATAAACTTAAATGATGCGACGAGGAGACGATGTTTATTAGAACTAAGTGGGATATTAGTGCCATACCTTTTGAACGCCCCCAAATGCCCTGGTACGGCCGAGAGTGGGAAAAGGCAGCTCACCCTCTCGAAATGCTATCACATGGCCACAAGTATACCGCCACTACCAGGGGAGTCCTACTCACTGCCTTCTCGTGGCGGAGGTGTTTTTTACGAAATTCAAAGGACGGGAAGCGAATGCCCGGCACTTTAACCGGGTTGGTGGGCATGGAGGATCTATCTAGGGGAGTTGGAAAACTCTGATTCCAAATCAATGGTGCACATGAGCTCCAGTATCCTGAAGGAATAAATGGCGTATGAACCAAACGTTGGTCATCGGTTACCATGGAACTGCGTCTCCTGACGTTGCCTTGTGGATCAGGACTTTAGGTCAAAGGCTCCGGGTGTGGCCCCTTAAGGAAATCACCTGCTTCGGTTTGGGCACCCAGGCAGTATCACAGCCCACACACAAACTAAGTGACTTGTGTGGCGCATATGCATCTGGTGCCCCTTTGTACCAATGTTTGTGTTTAAGTAAATACCTTCTGAACAACCTGATCTCACACTAAACATCTACGTTATCCATTAGAAAAGCAGCAAACTGAACCAATGTGGAAATGAAGACAACACAGATAATAAGAAAAAATATACATCACACCAATCTGGATGCTAAGTTTAAGGGTGATATCAAAAGGGTAGGCTCTAAGTAAAAACGAAATATCTCTGAAAGAAAAAGGAGTTTGAATCTTTGTACAGCTAAGTTCAGAATAAACCTTAGTATTTGTCCTAAATCATGTTTACACAACACGATAAAAGTTGATTTGAACTCAATAATGTGACCCATGTTTGATAATGTGGGAAGATGACTATTAATCATATGCCATATTCTACAATAACTGATTTCAAAGTAACGCATTAACAACGTTAGGTGCCGACTCATTGGTTTAGAGGTTAAGCGTTTGCGCGCGACTGATAGGTCCAGGGTTCGAGTCCCGCGAGACGGGATCGTGGATGCGCACTGCTAGAGTCCCATACTGGGACGAAACGGCTGTCCAGTGCTTCCAGATTTGTCATGGTCTAGCTTCAATGGGCTCATGAATTCAACCATTAAATCATATAAATGTCTAGGACTCACTGAAGAAAGGTTCTTGAAAAATTTCTTCGGCATACTCTCACCAAAAAGTACAACATCTGTAAATAATTTAACTGGAATTAAGCAGTTACCAGGTTTGACAACGTCTTTGCATTCAAGACACTTAGGCACTCTTTTGGCTAAAATTTCATCTACAAACAGAAAGAAATGTCATTTACTTTAAATAGTAAATACTTAGCATAAACTCGAAATCATGCAGTTTCTTGCACTTAATACAGTGTCCTGTGTGAAATGTCCCATGGGCTTCAACCAATTTCTCCTCTGGTAAACCAGATAAGCGTTCCAAACTATCACAGTTCTATGAGAATAAAAACTGGATGATAATGCGTTACATTACCTGTGTATAATGCCTAAGAAGTAAGCCTTTTTCATGAAGTAGCCTGATAAAACAATGAGCCAACGTAGGCTAAATTTTGATATTATGTAATGCGTAACACGTGCCTTTGCTTCTGGTCGATACAAACGCCTTGCAATCTCAAAGAAAGGTCTAGGATCGTTCTGGAAAAGAAAAAAACCAAGCTTACTGACACTAGAAACACACCTACTCGGAAGTAATCAATCGAGAATATTGCGTTCGGAGTAGGCAAGTTAAAATCTTCCAAGTTGTCGTATATGCCAGAAGATGGGCTTCGAAAATCAGGTATTCCAGCAGCTTTATTTTTTCAAAATAAAAAATACATGAGTTGTGAAATAATGCTCACAAAATTTCTATGGCAAAACAATTGACCGTTGAAAGAATTGAGAATGATATCAAGCGGAGAGCTTAAGTTAAGAAAGGTGCTCAATCTCCCTATTTGGGAGGTGTTAGCGGGACATAGACTAGATTAAAGCATGCTCAATGCATGATTGCTTTGGTGCACGCTGGTTGGCTAATTCTTATCCAATCAGCACTAGTCGATAGTTGGAGAATATTCTGGAATCTTCTTATGTAAAAAACTATAAATATACCGACGTTTTCCCCCATTGTGCTTCTGACTTGCTAATTGGAATATAATCTCTTTCCTGTTCAACCGTGTTCTGATTTGGGGACTTGTCGAGTGAATCGGTGTCCGAGAATACTAAGCAATAGGAATAGCTGGGTCATAACCGTAAGAAAACAGAGTTATAACAGGAGGACTTTGGGTAAGTTCTGTGGTTTTGTCTAAAGTTGTGATAAGTTTGCTAGCTATCCCCAAAGTTTGGGGGAAACATTTTGGGGATTGTCCCCAGATCTGGGGAGATTTTGGGAGGTTTGTGCCAGTTTCCCAAAGTTTTCTATAACAGTTTCCCTAAAACGGACGAAATTTTCCGGAAATAGTGAGAATGGGTGTATATCCAAACGACTAGTAATCTGTGATTGAGATACCTGTAAATGCACCTTGAGCCGAGAATGTTTGCATTTTTATATACTCCATTATCGTTAGAATTCGAATTAATAGCTAGAACCTTAAACCTCATTCCAACATTAATCACTCAGTAGTTTTACTTGTCTGATAAACTTATCAGGGTCCTTTACAGTAGCATACGCAAACATGACCCATGGAAACCAGAGTGACGCAACTCTTAATCCAGGAAACACCAGAGAAGAAAATATTACCTGTTGACACGCCAGCACCAACCATCGTTATTATTTTGTTGACTTGACCATCCTGGATTAATTGTGTCACACCTAACAGAATATGCTAAAACAGTTAAATTTACCCTCTATATCGAGAGACCCAAGTTTTGGTTGAGGCGTATTATCTCCAAACAGTGCTTTCTTAATCCTCGAAAAGTTGAAAGACATGACGAAGGAGGAACAGGAGAAAACGTCAGAGCCTTTCGAAGCTACCCGCCGTTTCGTTTAGCGACCTTGAACGGCCTAACAAGATTCAAATGGTTCAAATGGTTGTGGACGGAATAGAAGCTTTCGCTTAACAGGCTTCCGTGTCTAGTAGCAGGGGATCACCAAATCCTCCAGGCAGGAACCTAGGTATGTTAACAATAAGAGAGGAAAAGAAATTGGTAAATCATAGTGTGATGCTGTCCTTGGTCCTTAAGAATAGGTCAAGTTGCCTCTTAAAGGACTCCTGAGAAGTCACTTGGACTAGCTCAGCCGGCGGCGAGTTCCAGCTTCTGACAACTCTTAAGGAGTAGAAGTTATGTTTACATTCCGTTTCTCTATGTGTCTCCAGTTTCTGGGTGTTACCCCTTAGGTTATTATTCGAACTAAGCTTAAGTAGGTGTTTAAGAGGATGTCCAGAAGTGTTAAGGATGCTATAAGCCATCAGAAGATCACCTCTAAGACGCCTATATTCTAATGGGTAAAGGTCTAGTGAATGGAGGCGTTCTTCGTAAGGTTTAGATTTGAGTCCTCGAACTGATTTCGTGGCTCGCCGTTGGATACGCTCCAAAGTGACCTTGTCCTTTTGGAATGAGGGGGGAGTACTATGTTTCCATACTCTAAATGGGGACGGATGAAACTATTGAAGATTGTATGGAAAGTTTGTCCGTCAAACCGTCCAAAAATGCGCTTCAATGTTACCAGTGCAAGGTTTGCTCGGAAGGCATTTTTGTCAAAGTTAGCGTAAGACTTTAAGTCAAGGGGCACCAGGACGCCTAAATCTTTTTCGACTTGGGATACTACTAGAGAGGAGTTTCCTAAATTGTAACTGTAGTTTGCGACATGTCGCAGATGGACTACTTTAAACTTTGAAGTGTTAAAGGTAAGTCCGTTATCGTCTGCCCAACTTTGAAGTCGAGTCAGATCCTCCTGAAGTGCCTGTATATCGTCTTGGTTGCGTATCTCTCTCCAAAGTTTCACGTCGTCGGCAAAAAGTAATAAGTCTGACGTTACCTGTTGATAAAGATCATTTATGTAGATCAAGAAGAGAAGAGGCCCTAGTACTGAGCCCTGGGGGACCCCACTAGGACATTCCATAGCCTGAGATAAAGTGAAATTAACCCTAACCTTAAAGCGTCGATTTTTTAGGTATGAAGTAAGCCAATCGATTAGAGGTGGTTTGATACCTAGTCGTTTCAGCTTATTGATAAGACACAAGTAGTTAATCTTATCAAAAGCTTTTGAGAAATCAAGGTAAATGATATCAACATTTCCCTTGCGATCGAGGATGCTTGTCCATCTGTCCACCGCAGTCAGCAGGTTGGTTGTACAAGAGTAACCCTTCCTGAAACCATGCTGTTGGGGTGAGAAGAAATCTAAGGACAGTAGATAGTTGTTTGAACCGTCGCATATCAGGGACTCCATGAGTTTTGAAGGTAATGACAGAAGAGCCACCGGCCGATAACTTGAAGGTTCATTGCGTCGACGTCCTTTGAAAATTGGTGTGATGTGAGCCAATTTTCCGGTAATTTGCCTCGGCTTAGCGAGTGTGAAAACATCACGCTAAGCGGCGTTGCCAGGATTGAGGCTGCCTCCCTCAGTATGGCAGGATGAACCATATCCAGGCCAGTAGAAGTATCTAGCCTTAAGTGCTGCAATTTCCGGAACACCAAGTCAGCGCTTAGGTCCACTTCGGAAAGTCCTGTGGAATTGCAGATGAAACTGTCGTCGGTAGAGTTTATGTCAGCCGGTTGAAATGTTTGAGAGTAATGTGCCGCCAGAAGGTTAGCGGCGTCGCCATCGTTGTTGGTCGGGCCGTTAAGACCTACCAGTTGGGAAACTCCTGTTTTGGCTCGACGAAGAAAGGCTGCATAACGGAATAGGCTTCTAGGGTTAGAGGCAAATTTGTCCATAAGCTTCGTCTGGTACTGAAGCCTGTCTTCTCTTATAGCCTTCGTGCATATGTTCCTGATATGCTTATATTGCCTGTACGCTCCGTCGTTGTCAGTTCGTTTGTATTCCGCCCAACAGTGCCTTTTGCGGCTTAGCAGGCGAAGGGTACGGTTCTTGATTATTTTAGGTGGCTTGCAGCTTTTGGGAACCGTTTGAGGAACTGAATGGTTTGTAGCACATAAGAGCGTGTGCAGTAAGAAGTCCCAATGACCGTCCACATCGAGTTGGGGGTGAACATCCCAAACCACCTGTTGTAGATAGCCGTGTAGAGCTGGCACATTCAACCGTTTAAAATTCCAACGCAAGTTATTGGTAGGGTATCTTAGCTTAGTTTTGCTGACAAAATTGAAGGCTATGACGGCATGATCGCTTTTTCCCAGGGGAGCCAAGATTGAGAGGTTGTCAACTAGAAATGCTTCGTTTGTGAATACACAGTCTAAGCTCGATTGCGTCTGACTGTTTCTCCAACGAGTTGCCGACCTCACATTTTCGTACAATCCCAAGTCATTGATGAGGTTGAAGAACCGAGCTCCAATTGAGTTGTCGCCTCCAGTATACGTGTGTTCCGCGAAGTTGACTCTAGGGAGATTAAAGTCCCCTAGAATCAGGATATGTGTGAAACCGAGACAAGTAGAGCGGGATAGCCCTTCCAGCATACGACTATCGTAATCGGTGTGGGCAGTTGGCTTCCTGTAAATGACTCCGACTAGACACCTCGAAGTACTTGACAATCTTACAGAGCACCATATAAATTCCTCAAGATTGTTAAACTCGAGGTTATGAACTTGATGCACCTCCAAGCAAGAACGTATGTAAACAGCTACTCCGCCCCCATATCCTGATTTTCTGTTATTGCGGAACAAAGACATCCCAGGCAATGCTAACTCATGGTCCGAGAACTGAGAAGATATCCAGGTTTCAAATATTCCTATCAGATGGGCCTTACTAGCATTGCTAAGATCACGTAGTTCATCCAGTTTGTTTGGTAGACTCGCGGCGTTCATATATAAGCAGTTTATGCTTCCAATTTGGAACGCGTGAGCTTCGTCCTGTTTGTCTGTATGAGCCTTATGTGAATGGACAGGTAGCCCACCTATATGAGGTTTGCCGAGGTGGTAGGCCCTGACCTTTACACGTTTTGTTTATCATTTAGACAGTCCACAAGTGGAATGGTCAGCTCCAACTTGCCTTTGTGCTTGGTCCTATCTTCGTATGGCCTATCCGGGTGCATGTGGATTCCAGGTGGCAATCGACGTCTGTTGGCACGAAATGCCTCCAGAACTGCAGCCGCCATGTGGGAAGATGGGAAGGTTATCTTCATTAGACGGGGTCTAAGATCACCGTCCTTCTTGGCTAGTCTCGTCACATGCTGAGTCAGTATGTGTTTGAGCCTCAACGATCGTTTGATGAAGTTCCATTCCCTGATGTCAGAATTTGATTGAGTAGGGTCTGCATTTTCCGGCATACCTTGCACAATTATGTTTCTTCCGCGGAAAAACTTCTCGCGAGTTTATTTAGGGATGTTCCGTATGATATGCGGTCATTTCGTATTTCCATTGACGTGGGTTTGGTCGGTTGCATGAATATTAAGTTCTTCCACATTTAAGTCATCTTTTGTTGCATTAAAAAGTACACAATAACTGTCAACGCCACTCAAATATGCCCCTTTCGGGAAGTCTATCGTGCAAGACCTTGAAATTACAAGTTGACAAGTTCAAACACCTATGGGCAAAATGAATTGTGATAACCATATACAAGTTAGGCACAAGTTATACAAGGCCTTTGTGTGCCAGATATCGACGTAACTGACCCTTTTCTCTAAGGCTTACATATTGACCTAAGCAACTGAACTTAAATACCATGCACTACTGACTTTAAGCATGTTTCTCAAGTGGCAATGACATCAGAGTTTAATGTGTTATGATAATTATGAGTTTCTGAATTATTATATGAACTTAGAGTCACAAAAATAGCGCTGTGTAGAAAAAAGAGATTTAGACAAGCACAAACGAACGTATTGTATTTGGAATTCCAAATCAGGCGGATATCGGGTAAAAAATAAACATTGGTTCATACGAACACCGCATACTTCTACCACGTAATGGAGCTTCGCCAATTTAATTAGTGGGTTGCAAAAATTTCAGCAGATGCCACAGGCATTCAGAGTTTAACAACTCTTTAACCAGTAACACCTAATATTAATCGTACCCTCCAAGTAAAATCAAAAGACAGAAGCTAGGAGATTCCAAGATATATTTGATAAGCTATTAATATATCGAGTATCGTCTGATCTAATCTGGCAAGCGATTGCAAGGGTTATTATTATTATTATTATTATTCACAAACATCTTATGGGTACATAAGTGTTGTGAAGAAACCATTTCGGGTTTCTTCAAAAAAATGCAATAATACACAATTTTCAATAATGTTAGCATTATACTTGCCATATTAAAAAAAATTACAGTAATAATAGTAGAATATTAATAATAATAAATCGGGTCTGTGTAATTGAGAAGAATATTGAATTGAGTTTAAAGAAGGAAATGGAGAAAATAAAGGAATAGAAATAAAGGAGACGTGAAATGCGCAAACAGTCTAATAGGCGTGTTTATGAACACAGAACAAGAATAAACGACCATGTGTGTATCGTCAAATTAGTAACAAGAAATAATTAAGAAAAAATAACTTATAATTGCAGTAAGACATGACAATAGGATAAGTGTTTGTGCAGTCATAGTTTGGAGCGATGCGATGAAAGTCTCAATTGAGTGAAAAGGATAATAAAATATCAATATGTATGAGTCATATATGCATAGTGAAGATAAAACGGGTCTGAGAAGTTAATTT